TCTTCTTCTTCTTCTTCTTCTTCTTCTTCTTCTTCTTCCATATTTTCGCAGTTGGGGAAACCCACCCACTTGTGACTCCTGAAACGGTATTCACGAGTTCGCAGTAGCTGATGCAGATCCCAGGGCTCGATCCCTAGTCCCCACCTTACCTGTGTACAGTATCTGTGTCGACCCCTAGAGTTGAACCCGTGACCTGTGTAGTTGTAACAGTTGCTAGACTGTCGTAGGGTCGATAGGTAGCAGGGGTTCCATCTGTAGACCTGTCGAGTAGGAGTCTCAGTCAGGTCTAGAAGTCATAGCTGTAGCTTTCTTGAAGGGTCAAGGTCGTAGCTGCTACAATCCAGAAAGGTCAAGGTCGTAGCTGCTACAGTATCAAAAGGCCAAGCCTACGGTTTTCCGTAAGGTCCCAGTAGTGGCCTTTCGAAGTTGCCCATGTTTAAGCTGAGGCAAGTGGGCAAGTGGTGAGGCAAGTGGGCAAGTGGTGGAGTCTACCCGTGCTGAGTCAACAGTTCCAGTCTCAGTCAGTCCTGGTCCAGTCAAGCAAGTACTGCATGGGACTGTGTGCACTACGGGCATGGGAAAGGGCCAGACCAACGAGCTGCAGAAGTATAAATCAAAGGGCAGCGCCCAGCCATTCATTCATAATCCCTGCATGAGCCATGCGGAAGCGCTGCTATAGCGACTTGGGCGAGGTGGTCTGCAGTGAGCCCGAGGGAGAAGTGGGCGAGAGAGAAGAAGCCTAGCCATAGCGATAGGGTAGCAGCGGCCATAGCCGCCATAGCTGTAGTTAGAGTTTAGCGTGTGAGTGTGTGTGTGTTCAGAGTATCGTGTGTGGGATATCCAGGGTGATCCTGTGTATGCGAACAGAGAGTTGTGTGGGCGCTGAGTCGCCATAGCCATGTGTTATCGGTTGCCATATCTCTGACTTCTGAGTGGGCGCTTGTCGCCAGTTTGCTGCGCACCTGTTTGCATGCATGAGAAGTGTGATTGAGAGCGAGTCTGATTGCATTGGTTTCGGAGCTGGTACCCGCTATCCCACGCGCGCCGTCGTGTACCGCAGGAAGAGATATGCGCCATAGCAGCCATCGGAGGAGAAGTCCGCCATAGCGGACCTGGAGGTTGACGAAGCCGCCGTGCGCACCTGCAAGAAGACCACGACGAAGAGAGAGAGAGAGAGAGAGAGAGAGAGAGAGAGAGAGAAAGGTTGAGCGATACAAGATTGGTTTACTACGTACCTGCGTTGAAGACATCGCTACGAAGAGAGAGAGAGAGAGAGAGAGGGAGAAAGAGATGAGCGAGACAAGTTTGGTTGTCACGTACCTTTGAAGTGCACCGTGCAGTCCCACGAGGAAGAAGGCGGCGGCCATAGCCGCGGAGCTCGACCACAGAGTAACCAAGAAGGGTGAAAGAGAGGACAGAGGGGGAGACCGAGCAGAGTGAGGGAAGCCATAGCTGAGGAGGTGAAGGGAAAGAAAAAAAAAAAAAAAAAAAAAAAAAAAAAAAAAAGAGAGAAGACAGGCGGGGTGTAGAAGAAGAAGGAGGCGAGGTAGGGAGAAGGAAGGAGAAGGGTGGTGACGACGGTGAAGTCGGCCGCCATAGTCGGAGTTGACCGGAGGAGTTGACCGGGAGTTGACCAGACGTTGACCGGAGTTGACCGGGGGTTGACCGGGGGTTGACTGCAGCGTTGGCCCAGCGTTGACCAAGGCGTTGACCATGATTTTGACCAAGCTGGAGCCGGTATAATCTCGCCAAGCCTTCAGCCTATTCCCTCCCCCTATGGATGTGCACACACCCTGTGGTACTTGCTGAAGTCAAGTCTGTCTGTCTCTTCTTTTTGCATTGAGTCTCTTCTGCCCAGGTGATAGGAACTCTGTGGATGAAGGATAGGGCCTTGTTGACCAAACCCACACGGGTTGAGTAGGGCTAAAGACTGTGTCTGACGACTCGACTGTCCTGGAGGACACGAACCCTCCCAAGGACCGGTACTGATCGGCGGGCTGCTCGGTGTGGCACGGTAGCCCAAAATCCGAGTTGTGGGCTGCACAACAGGCCGTCTAAGTTTTGAGAAGACCTGCTGATCGCGTCGTCCTGTCTGCAGCGTTAAATAATTCCTGAGGAGTTACAGGGGATCTCCTTAAATGCCTCCTGATCTGCAACAGGTCTTGTAGTGACAGCCTTAGAGTAGGTCTAGGCTAGTGACCCTAGTTGACAGGATCCTGTCCGGATTCTGTGAGTCCTTTGATCGAGTCAGTAGGTTTGTCAGTCAGGGGGAGTAGCGTCTAAGTGAGGAGTGGAACCGTTACCTGGTTGTGCACCAGACACCATGGTTGACACCCGTAGTGGGAAGAGCACTGTCCCCCAATCCGAGGCCGAGCAGGCCCGGATCGCTGCCATTATGAAAGAGAGAAAAGAGAAGAAAGAGTTCCTCAAGCAGGCGAAGCTAAACGCTATAGCGGAGGAGCGGGCGGCAAAGAAAAAGCAGTTAGAAGAAGAGATGTTGAGGTTTCAGAAAGAGAAGATGATGATGCTGCAGCGAGAGGAAGAAGAGAAGAGAAAGGCTGCCGAAGAAGAATCAGCAGAAGAAGAAGAGGAGGAGGTAGAAGAAGAACCTCTTGAGAGGAGGCGTAGGGAAGAAAGAGGAGAAGCAAGTGGCACGAAGGGAGAAGACGCCTGGATGGAGAAGAAGATCAGCCGAGTGGGTGGCTAACTTATCGTTGGGAGAGGATGAGAGGCACAGTTGTATGTACCGCAGGAGGAGAGAGAGGCATTTGCCAGGGCATTAGAAATGATAGAAGACCCCCTGGAACGCCAGACCACATGGAACATCAGACCACGGAGGATGAGAAAAAGTTGAAGTGGAGGTTACGAATGATGAGGGAGAAGAAGAGAAGGAGGGAGGAAGCCAATCGAGTGGCTAAAGAGGTGGAACGAGTCCGGGCATGCAGACCGGAGATGCAGGCACAAACAAAGGTCCCCGCGAAATTAGATAAGATTATAGGGTACCTGGAGATCCTGAGTGAGGCCTGGCTTGAGGAGCATCAGGCCAACAAGTCCGGTTTTAGGGAGTTTGCGCGCGACRTGGTGACCCACGTTGGGACCGAAGTCAGGAAGCTAAAGGAAGGCGCAGAGAAGTTTTGTGACGGCCCCATTGAGGGTGCCAAAGTAGTGGTCATAGCAGAGGCCGCAGCACGTCCCCGCAAAGAGCTCGTAAAGCTCAAATTTCCTGATGCCCATAGCGGGAAGAAGGACGGAAGTTTTGACAACTAGGAAGCTAGTGTCAATACTTACATCTATTTGCAGCATATCGCCCCCGGGGAGCAAGTCCTCGTTGCCTTCCGTGCATTGAAGGACGAAGCGGCCAGCTTTGCCAAGTCCCTAGCGTGCGTCGCCGATTGCGAGCACACATATTGTAGACTCACCCCTCTCTCCACTTTCCTCGAACTCCTGTGTGACAGGTTTGCTGACGTCACGAGAGGCGTTCGGGCCTCCGGTAAACTCCAAACCATCCACTCGCGACAGTGGAGGAGTGCGCGAACACTCAAAAGCTGTCATGGACGACTTGGTAGCCGTCCCGGACCATGGGGTCACTGAGACCCAGTTGGTCCAGTTGTTCTATCGTGCCATGCCAGAGCCCTTGAGAGGGCATTTCTTTGACAAGGCCCAACAGCCCAACATCACATACGATGCATTGAGTAGGGAAGTGGTCTTGTTTGAGGCCAAGTTCATGCCAGTTTCCACTTTCTGGCACAAGGACTTAGACAAGGGAAAAAAGTGGAAAGGTCGTACCATCTGTGGCCAAGTTAGGGCCAAGGATCATCTGATCCTTACCTTAGACAAAGGTGGTACAGACGAGATCCCCTACAGTAAGATTGAGTGGGGACTCGAGGAGGAGGACAGTAGCATAGGTCAGGGGAGGTCTTATGCGGCTGTCGCGGCTGGAGGGAGGCCGCCGGTGAGGGCCCGACTATAAAAAAAGCTTTAAAAAAGACTTTAAAAAGTTAAAAACTAATAAAAGGTAATGAATTATTAATAATTAAAAAATTGGGGTTGTCTAATAAATTATTATAGAGAGGGAGCATGTCTGGACCCCCCCAAAAAGCATAAACGGGCCTGAAAAACCCCCAAAACAACTTTGGGGGCTTGGCTCCTCAATGGGGAAGGGTCCTGGACCGTTGTTTTTTTTTCCCCCCTCGAATTTTGGCAGATCCGGACCTTCCAGACCGGACGTCTAGAGCCCGGACTGAATCCGGACCGTCTGGACGGCGGTCCGGACGTCCGGATCGTAGCCATGCATTTTTCATCAAATGAGACATTGCCTATGTTCAGATTGTTCTCTACAACTCTCGAGAACATGAAGTTGGAATCGCTAGTAATCGCAAATCAGCATGCCGCGGCAAATATGTACTCAGGCCTTGTACACACCGCCCGTCACACCATGGGAATTTGTTTTGCACGAAATTGTCTCTATGATAAACAAATGACGCACTCTTTCTACCTTTTTCAAAGCAGACCAGACTCGATCTTCAACCAATAGTTGGAATGTGTTATTTTAATGTCAAAGAAAAAAAAAAAAGGTCAAACCCTTAGCGTGGAATGCGAATTGGATTATTATGATGGTACATCCCACCTGCATTAAGTGGGTTGGCTTCTTACATGCTTAATGAACGTGGAGCTGCCCCCTCGGCCAATTGTCGTTTGACCCCCAGGAATGGGGATGGAACCAGGCGGGGAGCCGTACACTTCAGTTATGGCAGTACACGGTTAAAAATGGATACAGGATAGGTCGACAGAAAGCACACATAACAGACCAGATTGGATTACGATGGGACAAAGAATCTCCCCTCAAAAGAGAGGACCCACATAGTCTCAATTGGGCCTCCTATTCACGAATCCGGCCCACCAATCTGAGAGCTCTGCAATGGCAGATCATCCACAGATGCCTCCCTACCCCGGACTGGATCACATCCAGAATGAATTTGGAAATCCGAGGAGAGCTGTTCCCACTGTGCAGCTACTGCGGTGGAACAAGATCCCCCAAAAGAAGAGCCACCCTGGAACATTGTTGTTTGTACTGCCCTGTGGTGGCCCAACTGTGGAGCCGGTGGGATGCGGCATGGCATTACCTCACAGGAACACATATTCCATGGGATATCAAAGTATTCCTGTTGGGGGAAAAGACTCCACAAATGACCCAATGGACGCCCTTTATGTCCAACCTGTTCGCCATCACACACCTACCAATGCTTATGGCGGCATGGCGAATGAGGTGTGCACACGAACGCAACAGCACACGTTCGGGTTAATGGAAGCATGGGCATCAATCGCGGAAACAATAACGGTCAGTACACATGCGGCCTGGCAAGAGCGTCGAAACATGCTGACAAACGAGCCGGATCCAGTCAAACGTAACAATCTCTCACACAACTTCCGCACGTTATGGGTGGCAATCGTACAGAGGCTCTGTGAAGTGGACCCGGAAAACCATCTGTGATGGAAACAGTGGCTATTAACGGAACCCAGATGGGAACAACTGCCTCGAAACCATTGTGGTATCCCTTTCCAACCGACTAACTTCATCCTTATTCCAACTTAGCGGTCTGTATTTTTGGATCTCATGACCCCATGCACCCCTGCTCCTGTTACCACACCGCCCTTGCCCCTGCTATGCGCAGGCCCCACTGCCCCCCCGTTCCGCCCCCCCTTCTACTACTCT